GCCCCCGCCCCGCCCCCCTCCGGGCATGCCCCACCCTGGCCCACCCCCGATGGGCATGCCACCCCGGGGGCCTCACTTTGGATCTCCAATGGGTAAGTGGGGCAGTGCTTTTTTCTCCCAGTGGTTGCTTCAGTGCGGAAATAGCATGAGCTCCAGCCAGAGCCCCTGGAGAGATCCGTTCCCAATAACAATCATTCAGAAGAAGTATAGTTTTTTTATTATATATAATTTTATTTTGAATCGTAAAACATAACAATAAGCAGTAAGAACCTACAAATATGAAGAACATTGTATTAACAATAAACTAGGAAACTAATGCAGTTTGGGTTACATAAAATGTAGAATCTCGTATTACTTCTTTGGGACTGCAAGAAGATCAAATCAGTCAATCCTAAAAGAAATCAACCCTGAATGTTCCCTGGAAGGCCAGATCCTGAAGCTGAAGCTCAAATACTTTGGCCACCCAATGAGAAGGGAGCACTCACTGCAGAAGACCCTGATGCTGGGAAAGATTGAAGGTCAAAGAAGACGGGGACGGCAAAGGATGAGATGGTTAGACAGTGTCATGAACATGAAATTGAGCAAACTTCAGAGGACGGCGGAAGACAGGAAGGCCTGGCGGGATCCAGGGGGTCGCGAAGAGTCGGACTCGACTGTGCAACTGAACAACAACAACAAAAACAGAATAACAAGAAAACATAAAACTGTTTCTAGGAAGGGAAACCATTTCAGTTGAAATTCAGAATGATTTAAAGAAGCTTTGCTACTTGAGACTTTATCAGAAATCTTCTCCGTAGCATAGAACTCCCATAGTTTAGAATACCATGATGTAACTGACAACCTATTAGAGGATTTCCAGTCACTTGCTATTACAACTTTTGCTGCTGTTAGCAGGATAGAGATACGTTCACAGCGTATTTTGGGTATTTGGGAATCTCGCCATACTTCTAATAGAATACATTCCGGCAGTTGAGGAAGATCATAACCTGTTATATCATTAATGATCTTTAGTATAGTTTATTGAGACATTGATAAGATCCAGATTCATGACATACTTTGTGAGGACTGAGGTCCAGCGCGCGAAGCCAGCAATTGTACCATAATCAAACATACGTCAGTGGCTCTCGGCCAATCACTTCTCAGCTAAAAGCCCGCCAAGCTAACGCTCTGAGACTCCCGGGGAAAAGGGATGCTACAAGCATTACAGGTCCCAACATTAGATGGCTGTACCAGACACCAGACAGATGACGGGCAAAAACGGAACCATACATTCCAGCTCGTACCCTCCATGGGAACCAAGCTCCTGACAGGCAGGGGGCTCAGTTTCAGCCGGTGGCTTCTTCCTTCGGGTTGCCAGCTCAGGGTGGGGGGATTCCCGGAGATTTGGGGGTGGAGCCTGAGGAGGGGGTGGGACCTCAGCAGAGTATAATGGCATGCAGTCCAGCCTCCAAAGCATCCATTTTCTCCAGGTTGTTTCAGAGGAAGGCCACGTTGGTCTTCTGTCGCTTAGCTGGTTTTGAGTCCAGTGGGACCTTAAGAGACCGACCAGATAAAAAGGGGTGGGAGCTTCCAAGACTCAAAGTGCTGATAAAGGTACCTGACCAAGGGAGCTTTGATTCTTGAAAGCTTTTCACACACACACACAATGTTGTTGACCTCTAAGGTGTTGCCGGACGCAGGTTTAAATTTTCTCCAGGGAAAGTGATCTGTGTATTCTGGAGATCAGTAGGGATTGTGGGAGAACTCCAGGCCTCGTCTGGAGTTTGGCGGCCCTATTATGCCTGGAGGCTTGTTGTGCCTTTTCTTATTCAAGTCCCGCCTTCCCCCCTTTCCTCCTGTCACTCGCTGGGTTCTAAATCCCCGTTTTAAAAAGGCTGAAGGGAGGAACCCTCACCTGGCGACCTCCTCCAGCCCAAGCCCACCTATACAGAGCCCACAGGGACACGGGGGCCGTGGGACTGCCGCTCACTCCCACCCTTGCGTGCATCAGTGGTTCCAGACTGGTGCACCACAATGGCCCTGGTATCAGACCGTAAGGAACTGGGGCCTGAAGAATAAATTTAAAAATGAATTTGAAATGCTATGACCAATGTTCCCTGTAAGCTGTGGGGTCTTGTGAGCAAATATTCTACTTTGTGAAACTACTGGCATTAAAGGTGTGAGCGAGCGATTTGGCTCCTGCATAATTTACGTTTGCTCTGGAGCCCTCCTTCCTGAGCGAAGACAAAGATGTGTGAGCCGGAGGCTACAAAACTGTGAGCTAGCTCACACTCACTCAGCTTAGAGGGAACACTGGCTGTGACAGTCCTTTCAGTAGCAGAGGTACCCTTCCTTTCACAAGATTTCCACAGCTGCTTCTGCCATCATTTGCAGAGGCCACGGAGCATTGAATTTTAATGCCGCCTGGTCAGTGCACATTGGGAAGAAATTGCTGACCGCCTCCTTCGTCTCGGCCATAGAACAGTATTAGTGGGCTTATTAATGGGTGGGCATTCCGTTGATGGTTCTGCCCCCTCAACATGAGCGTCCCAGATCGACATCGGAACGGGTGGATGTTTCAGGCATGAGGTCTTTTGCTCTTACGGCCCTTCGAGGGCATTGTCTAAAGTCTGTGCCTCTTTTTCCTCCAGGTCACCCCGGGCCCATGCCTCCTCACGGGATGCGCGGACCGCCTCCCTTGATGCCTCCCCACGGGTACAACGGACCCCCTCGCCCTCCTCCCTACGGCTACCAGCGGATCCCTCTGCCCCCTCGTCCTGCCCAAAGGCCCATGGTGCCTCCGCGAGGGCCCATGCGGGGACCACTACCCCCCTAAACCAAAGGACAGCACGGGCCAGCATCAAGAAGTACCCAGTGATAGCAGATATTCCTCCAGTCTCTACTTTTTTTTGTTTCTCTTTGGACCAACATTCGTCCCAACCGGAGCGCCGCTTCCCGTTGCACCGTCCGATATGTGAACCGTTCTGCCATCCGGCTTGGCAGCGCATATTAAGGTTTTGTTCATCCTGGTTTTTTATTAGCTCCCTTGTCGCTGAGAAGACGGAGCAGGGTTTTTATGTTCTTTTTATTGTTAGTACTCTTTGTGAAACTCCCGCGTAGAAGTGCCGTTTGCAAATAAAAGTTTAGGAAGGTACTCCTTGGATGGGATTTTTTTTTTTTTAAAGGAATACGTTGGTTTTGAGACTCCAGCTCAGGGTTCCTTCCGTTGCTGCGGCCACTCGTGATTCTCCTTACGGATGTGCAGGGCTCCCTCACTGCTCCAAGAGCAGCATAGGACATTTCCAGGGCTGTGGGGAATTCCCTAGGTGTGACCTGCAGGCGCAGTATTGTGTGCTGAATGTAGATGTTGGCATAAGAATATTACCATTAATCACACCCCAAAGTGGTAGCTGTATTAATCTTTAACAACCAAAACACACACCTGTGGGCTAGGTCTTGCAGATCCATTTTGCTAATAATGTTGTTTTCCCATTGCACAGGAAGCCTTTCCCTGCTGCTAGAGAAGATAACTTCTTGGGCTCAGGAAAACACTACCATCAGCAGAAAAGGCCTGCAAGATACAGTCCCTTGTAGTTTCCGAAAGACTAACTGGTTTATTGTTGTAGGAACTTTTACTTGAGTAAAGAGCCCTGCTGGATCAGACCAGTGAGGGTCCCTATAGCCCAGCCTCCTGTCTGCCACAGTGGCCTCAACCAGTTCCTCTGGAGGGCCAGCAACAGGGCAGAGAGGCCGAGGCCTTCCACTGAGGAGAACATCAGGAGAGCCCTGCTGGATCAGACCAGTGAGGGTCCCTATAGCCCAGCCTCCTGTCTGCCACAGTGGCCTCAACCAGTTCCTCTGGAGGGCCAGCAACAGGGCAGAGAGGCCGAGGCCTTCCACTGAGGAGAACATCAGGAGAGCCCTGCTGGATCAGACCAGTGAGGGTCCCTATAGCCCAGCCTCCTGTCTGCCACAGTGGCCTCAACCAGTTCCTCTGGAGGGCCAGCAACAGGGCAGAGAGGCCGAGGCCTTCCACTGAGGAGAACATCAGGAGAGCCCTGCTGGATCAGACCAGTGAGGGTCCCTATAGCCCAGCCTCCTGTCTGCCACAGTGGCCTCAACCAGTTCCTCTGGAGGGCCAGCAACAGGGCAGAGAGGCCGAGGCCTTCCACTGAGGAGAACATCAGGAGAGCCCTGCTGGATCAGACCAGTGAGGGTCCCTATAGCCCAGCCTCCTGTCTGCCACAGTGGCCTCAACCAGTTCCTCTGGAGGGCCAGCAACAGGGCAGAGAGACTGAGGCCTTCCCCTGAGAAGAACATCAGAAGAGCCCTGCTGGATCAGACTAGTGGTCCACCTAATCCATTTAGTGTTCCCTGTAAGGTGTGGAGTCTTGTGAGCAAAAATTCTTACTTGTGAGCAATGTTCCCTCTAAGCTGTGGAGTCTTGTGAGCAAAAATTGTACTTTGTGAGCTACTGGCATGAAAGTTGTGAGCAAGCAATTTGGCTCCTGCATAAATTAGTTTGCTCTGGAGCCGGAGGCTAAAAAACTGTGAGCTAGCTCACACTAACTCAGCTTAGAGGGAACACTGCTTGTGAGTCAGTTTGGTCGTCTTTTGACAACCAACACAACTGAATTGAATGGGAGCGACACAATAGTACGGTATTGTAGTATTGTATTGTTCTAATACCACTCCCATTCCTTCACTAGAAACATTCTTTCACACAAGCTGTATTGAAATGAATGGGAGCAGCACTCAGCGTCCAAATAAAAAGACTACACAAGAATGCAATTTCACAGGACAAAACATTCTAGATAAAAACCTGCCAATATTAACTATTCCAGATCACTGTAATTCAATGGGACAGATATAAGCAAGTGATTAACCTTCTCACTAAAATCACTGGGACTTAAAATTGCCTGAGTTCGTGTTAATTGTGCTCATTTGGCAAATTTAAAACTTACCTTTAAAAGAGTTCAGTGTTTTAAATATCTTTGTAACACCACACACTCCTAGCAGAATTCATGTTTTTGGCTTTTTAGCCAAAAAGACACCTGCCTGAGCCATCACCATTGCCAATAGTAAACTGGTGTCATTTTCTAGCAGTACTGTTTTTAATGCATCTGTGAAAAAAGTCCTTATAAAGGTTAGCATACATTGTGCATTCCTTCCATTGGTATGAAATAGAATCCTTATTAAGAATAATGAAAATGTTATGTTTCCTCTTCCTGAATTCTGCCTGAATACAAAGGAAACCCGACATTCCAAGCCAACATGGACAGATAAGCTTGGACAGTTGAGTCTGTCTTTTGGTCTCCCCAAAAAGAATTAACGATCTAATTTAAATTAAATAACTGCTTACTATCTTCCAGTAAGAACTATCTTTTGAAATTCATGACGATAAAAAAGTTTTGGTGTAAGGTCATACTTGAATGTTTTCCAGAGCTTCATTCCTGAAAGTGCTAAAAGAACAAAAGTTCCTTAAAGTCATGCAGCCTGAGGTATAATTCAGTCAGGTACACCACACTCTCATTTTAACAGGCTGTTGCCAGAAGTCTGATACACCCTGCTTGAGCTGAGTTACACTACTCAGTGCAAAGTGATGCACATTGGAGCAAAAAATCCTAACTATAAATACACGTTGATGAGGTCTGAACTGGCAGAGACTGAGCAAGAGAGAGATCTTGGAGTCGTAGTAGATAACTCACTGAAAATGTCGAGACAGTGTGCGACTGCAATAAAAAAGGCCAACGCTTTGCTGGGGATTATTAGGAATGGAATTGAAAACAGATCAGCCAATATCATCATGCCCCTGTATAAATCGATGGTGCGGCCTCATTTGGAGTACTGTGTGCAGTTCTGGTCACCACACCTCAAAAAGGATATTGTGGCATCGAAAAAAGTGCAGAAAAGGGCAACTAGAATGATAAAAGGGTTGGAACACTTTCCCTATGAAGAAAGGTTAAGGCGCTTGGGGCTCTTTAGCTTGGACAAACGACAGCTGAGGGGTGACATGATCGAGGTTTATAAGATTATGCATGGGATAGAGCAGGTCGAGAAAGAAGTACTTTTCTCCCTTTCTCACAATATAAGAACTCGGGGGCACTCCATGAAATTGCTGACTGAGCAGTCAGGTTAGAACAGATAAAAGGAAGTCCTTCACCCAAAGAGTGATGAACACATGGGATTCACTGCCACAGGAGGTGGTGGCAGCTACAAGCATAGACGGCTTCAAGAGGGAACTGGATAAGCATCTGGAGCAGAGGTCCATCAGTGGCTAATTAGCCACAAGGTATAGATAGGAACTCACAGGCTGGGGAAGGTGATGCACTGTATGCTTGGGGGGGGCAACAGTGGGAGGGCTTCTGGTGTCCTGGCCCCACTGGTGGACCTCCTGATGGCCCCTGGTATTTCTGGCCACTGTGTGACACAGAGTGTTGGACTGGATGGGCCATTGGCCTGATCCAACAGTGGCTTCTCTTATGTTCTTATGTACTTATTTCTACATGCCGCCTTGGCAATACAGGTGCGTGTTATGTGTAGAAGAAGAGATTGGATTTGTACCCCACCCTTCACTCGGAGTCTCAGAGTGGCTTACAAACTCCTTTCCCTCCCCCTCCCCACAACAGATACCCTGTGTGGTAGGCGGGGCTGAGAGAGCTCTTTCCAGAACTGCCTTTTCAAGGACAGCTCTCATCAGAACTACGGCTTGCCCAAGGCCATCCAGCAGCTGCGAGTGGATCTGCTAAATTTAATCTTAACCGTTTGGCCCCCCCCCCCCCAAAACCAGATCATTTATGGAGAGGGCCAGAGTACCGGTGCAGATGAGCCAGCACCACCAGTGAGTGGACTGTAATGTGGATGTGTAAGAGTCAGGATAGAACCCTTTCTGGGGCACGATGCTCTGTGGGTGGGTGGGTGGGTAGCCCTGGTTTTGTTCTTGGACTAACCTTGCTGACATTGGTTGGATCGTTGGAAATGGCTCATGGAGACTCCTCATGGTGTTTCCAAGGCAAGAGATGTTCAGAGGCGGTTTGCCATTTGCCTGCCTCTGCGTAGCGACCCTGGACTTCCTTGGAGGTCTCCCACCCAAGTCCTAACCAGGGCTGATGCTGCTTAGCTTCTGAGGTCTGATGAGATTGGGCAAGCCGGGGCCATTTAGCCAGCTGGAAATGCCCTCGTCAGGGCTATTTTTGGGCAGGAACGCACAGGAACGGAGTTCCGGCTGGCTCCCGAGTTGGCCACGCCCAGCAGGAACTCATTAGGATTGGCTACATTAGGGGTGTGTGGCCGAACATGCAAAGGAGTTCCTGTTTTAAAAAAAAGGCCCTGGGTTTTGACAACAAACAAGGTAAACAGAATAAGAAGCAAAAGGTGGGTGTGGCTGGATGACCACACTTCTGGTAACGTGGGGGTGTGGCCTAATATGCTAATGAACTGTGCTGGCAGGGGTGCGGCACATTATGTTAATGAGTTTCTGCTGTTGGGTGTGGCCTATTATGCTAATGAGTTCCTGCTGGGCTTTTTCTACAAAAAGAGCCCTGCCCCTCGTGAATATCCCGTGGGAAGGGGATCAAAAGGCAACGAATGCCCTTCTGCGGAGCTGTTGGTGGGCAGGACATGGAAATGTTGTACCTGAGCGTGCGGAGTTCTTTCTTTACTCACAACCTTCATGCCTAACACATTCACTGTGAGCACAGGAGGGAAACTGATAATTAAGCCGGCGTTTTCCCCCCAAAGTAAGGATGGAAAAGCGAACACCTTCTGTGACACGCTTGGGATTAGACACTGCACGCACACGCACGCACACGCCCATCTTGGGTTCTGCTCTCCCTCTTTCAAAGCTGCCTTTCACTTGTAAAGCTTAAAAAAAATCCCTTTCAATGCCATTGGGGTGGGGGTGAGAGAAGTCTACTCCCCAGTTCTTGCATCGAAAAGGAAGGAATAGAGCGACGTGTGTTTTGAGGGGAGGCAGATTTGGTGATGGCTTCTGACTGAGAAGGAATGGACTTACGAGCCATTTCCTATTCTTTCTGATTGGCCCTCAGAAGAAGAAGAAGAAGAGATTGGATTTATCCCCCGCCCTTCACTACCCAAAGGAGTCTCAGAGCGGCTTACAGACTCCTTTCCCTTCCCCTCCCCACAACAGACACCCTGTGAGGAAGAAGAAGAAGAAGAGATTGGATTGATACCCCATGGCCCTTGACTACCCAAGGGAGTTTCAGAGCGGCTTACAGTCACCTTTCCCTTCCCCTCCCCACAACAGACACCCTGTGAGGGAGGTGGGGGCTGAGAGAGCTCTCTTGAGAACTGTGACCGGGGCCTGTATACACCAAACTGGCTCTCAAGAGATAAGTCCAGCATCCTGTTTTTCGCTCTCAAGAGGAGAGTCCTC